CCCTGTAGACGGGAGGTTTCCTTCGGCAAGGTTAACAGCCTACCGAAGATGAAGTAAAACCAAATGCTCAAAGTACCAGAACGAACTGGATAAAATAGGCTTTAAGTCTAATACACGTGGAAGAAGAAGGAGAATTTTTATTTATTTTAGTTACTGCTTATTTTTAATATTTCAATTATGGTGCTAGCAGATATAATTGTAGGTTTTAATTCGTTCTCAATATTCTTTTCTACAAATTATTGCTATTACGATTTAGAGAAATGACAAAGATTGAGAAAAATATGTAGATTAAAACTCAAATTCTAAGCTGCGTATTTAATGCGTCCATAATTGCCAGCTAGTACATTTTCTAATTCTAATAAGATATTTGTACTTTTGACAAGATATTTCCCCACATAAACATACAAGTTGGTATTTAAGGCAGTGTTGTTCAGTGGATCATATACATATGTACATTTTATTTATTATTATTTAATTATTTCGATCAAGACCGTACTCTGACCTGAATTTATTATCTGGCTTAAGTTTTATTATTTAACATGTTTTAGCGAAATAAAGAACGTTCTTCTCCTACATACTAAATTATTATTTATTACGCATATTAACGCTGCATACATTCTTACTAGCTTAGGATAAACATGTTTTTATGGATATTATTAAATAATTTGACACTTCGGATTAATTTAATTTGCTGCTGCGTTTATTTAAAATTCACAAACCAAATTTAATCCATTTATTTAATGTCTATCGACAACGTATTAAGTAGGATCAAACATTAAGAGGTTATTGTTCTTATTATCCATATTATCCTTATTTTCCGTTCAACATTTTGTCAAGCTGAGCCTTTGATTCCTTGGCCCATTTTTCTATAGCAGCCTAAAATCATGAATATATTTTCGTTATTAATTGTGATAATCTAGTAATAATGCTTAAACTTTAAAAAATAGACGAATGATAGGAGTGTAAAAAATGTATACATTCAGTATAAACATAATTTAAACTTAAATAAAATTTATAATTTCCACCCTCATGTTTCGTTATGTGTGTGTGTTTGCGTATATTTTGTATATGCATATGCAGAACTTTACATATGTAGCACAAAATTTAAAAATTCAAAAGAATAATAATATCATAACACATATTAAGCATCGTGAGATGCATAACAATTTGAATTGAATAAAGAACTATTCCGTGTAAAAAGATCTGCTTGGTTGTAAAAAATATATGAATGACAGTGTAACAGGTTAATGATAATTATTTATAACATGTGCGATCAAATAAATTTATATTTGACATTCTACATAGATGTGAAATTATATATATCATTTTGTTTGAATTTTTGTTTAGAATAATATTAAAAGAAATAATTGAAATATTGAATAAAATCGATTTATCTTACTTGATTAACCGGAGGGACAGCATCGGCGTCAGACATTGCATTAATAGCCGGGATATTAACTGCGACTAAGATCGCAATTACAGCAAATAAGAAAATTATGATTTTCATATTCGTTTTCACGTAGTGATAAGAAAAATAAATGTATTACGTCTCGTTACGTATTACTCTACATTTGATTTCGTGGAGTGACTAATTTATAGTGAAACTTGTATTGGCGATAAGGAATATCAAGAATATAAAGTAGAAAACGTGCACTTTTGTAGTTACGACGAAAAATATGAAGCATCGTAAGATATGCAATAGTTTGAAAAATATCTGGATATAAAGATGATTATTGTCGTGAATCTTTTTTACTACAATACAATATATACGAGGGTGAATAAAAAATTATCTGCGCTTTTCGTTCAACAATTTATTTACACAAAAATAGGTGTTCAATATGTACATCATTTTTCAACATAGTCTCCTCCCTTGGCAATACACTTGGTACAGCGGTCCACAAGCTTGCGTATACCTTTCGAGAAGAAGGTTCGGTTGGTCGCAAAGCCACTTTTGCACCGCTTCCTGCACGTCTATGTCTGTAGAAAATCGACGACCTCGCAAAGCATCCTTGAGCGGCCCAAACAAATGAAAGTCGGAGGGAGTAAGATCTGGACTGCAGGAAGCAGTGCAAAAGTGGCTTTGCGACCACCGAAAACCTTATTGAAAGAAATAGAAAGCTTGTAGACCGCTGGACCAAGTGCATTGCCAAGGGAGGAGACTATGTTGAAAAGTGATGTACACATTAAACCCCTATTTTTGTATAAATAAATTGTAGAACGAAAAGTGCAGATAATTTTTTACTCACCTTCGTATAAATATGCCAAATCGTAATATTTAATCTTATATAGTGTGGCAGATATATTAAGAACAATCTACATGGTTTGAGTATGTTATCTTGCCACACATACTCTTTCGGGGTATAGCCATTCTAGATGGGAGGTTTCCTTCGGCAAGGTTAACAGCCTACCGAAGATGAAGTAAAACCAAATGCTCAAAATACCAGAACGAACTGGATAAAATAGGCTTTAAGTCTAATACACGTGGAAGAAGAAGGAGAATTTTCATTTATTTTAGTTACTGTTTATTTTTAATATTTCAATTATGGTGCTAGCAGATATAATTGTAGTTTTTAATTCGTTCTCAATATTCTTTTCTACAAATTATTGCTATTACGATTTAGAGAAATGACAAAGATTGAGAAAAATATGTAGATTAAAACTCAAATTCTAAGCTGCGTATTTAATGTGTCCATAATTGCCAGCTAGTACATTTTCTAATTCTAATAAGATATTTGTACTTTTGACAAGATATTTCCCCACATAAACATACAAGTTGGTATTTAAGGCAGTGTTGTTCAGTGGATCATATACATATGTACATTTTATTTATTATTATTTAATTATTTCGATCAAGACCGTATTCTGACCTGAATTTATTATCTGGCTTAAGTTTTATTATTTAACATGTTTTAGCGAAATAAAAAACGTTCTTCTCCTACATACTAAATTATTATTCATTACGCATATTAACGTTGCATACATTCTTACTAGCTTAGGATAAACATGTTTTTATGGATATTATTAAATAATTTGACACTTCGGATTAATTTAATTTGCTGCTGCGTTTATTTAAAATTCACAAACCAAATTTAATCCATTTATTTAATGTCTATCGACAACGTATTAAGTAGGATCAAACATTAAGAGGTTATTGTTCTTATTATCCATATTATCCTTATTTTCCGTTCAACATTTTGTCAAGCTGAGCCTTTGATTCCTTGGCCCATTTTTCTATAGCAGCCTAAAATCATGAATATATTTTCGTTATTAATTGTGATAATCTAGTAATAATGCTTAAACTTTAAAAAATAGACGAATGATAGGAGTGTAAAAAATGTTATACATTCAATATAAACATAATTTAAACTTAAATAAAATTTATAATTTCCACCCTCATGTTTCGTTATGTGTGTGTGTTTGCGTATATTTTGTATATGCATATGCAGAACTTTACATATGTAGCACAAAATTTAAAAATTCAAAAGAATAATAATATCATAACACATATTAAGCATCGTGAGATGCATAACAATTTGAATTGAATAAAGAACTATTCCGTGTAAAAAGATCTGCTTGGTTGTAAAAAATATATGAATGACAGTGTAACAGGTTAATGATAATTATTTATAACATGTGCGATCAAATAAATTTATATTTGACATTCTACATAGATGTGAAATTATATATATCATTGTTTGAATTTTTGTTTAGAATAATATTAAAAGAAATAATTGAAATATTGAATAAAATCGATTTATCTTACTTGATTAACCGGAGGGATAGCGTCGGCGTCAGACATTGCATTAATAGCCGGGATATTAACTGCGACTAAGATCGCAATTACAGCAAATAAGAAAATTATGATTTTCATATTCGTTTTCACGTAGTGAAATAAGAAATAAGAAAAATAAATGTATTACGTCTCGTTACGTATTACTCTACATTTGATTTCGTGGAGTGACTAATTTATAATGAAACTTGTATTGGCGATAAGGAATATCAAGAATATAAAGTAGAAAACGTGCACTTTTGTAGTTACGACGAAAGATATGAAGCATCGTAAGATATGCAATAGTTTGAAAAATATCTGGATATAAAGATGATTATTGTCGTGAATCTTTTTTACTACAATACAATATATACGAGGGTGAATAAAAAATTATCTGCGCTTTTCGTTCAACAATTTATTTACACAAAAATAGGTGTTCAATATGTACATCATTTTTCAACATAGTCTCCTCCCTTGGCAATGCACTTGGTACAGCGGTCCACAAGCTTGCGTATACCTTTCGAGAAGAAGGTTCGGTTGG